GACCACCACTGAGAGTGAGGACACTCTCAGTGCGAAGACTAAGAAGGAGCGCTTTGAGGAGCAGAGCTGGAACTCGTTGAAAACGAGTCCCTACTACGAGATCTTACGGGAGTAAGCGGACGTACTTCCGGAAGAGATCCCTGCGGAACTTCCGCAGGACAAGGGCATCCAGCACGAGATTGATCTCGTGCCGGGCACGAAGTACTGTGTCACGCGGCAGTGGCCACTGCCGCGAGAGCAGGTCAAACCGATCGACGACTTCTTTGAGAGTCGTCGCAAAGCTGGACAAGTGCGGGAATCGAAATCCCCGCACAGTGCTCCGACGTTCTGTGTCAAGAAGCCACAGGGCGGCTGGCGCATCGTTCATGCGTACAACAAGCTGAACGATGCGACGATACCGGCGCAGACACCGATACCGCGAAAAGATGTTATCATCGATTCGATGGCCAGGAGCACTATCTACAGTGCTCTTGATCTGCGCGATGGGTTCTATCAGATCCTCATGTGTGAGAGCGATATCCCTCTCACGGCTGTGAGCACGCCGAGCGGCATGCTCTGGGAGTGGCTAGGGATACCGCAGGGTCTGAAGAACGCCCCTGCGACCTTCAACAGGTGTGTGACGCACTTGTTGCGCTCGGTGCGCGACTTCGCACCGAGCTACTTCGGCGATATGTTCGTCCACAGCCGGGCTGCGGACGGGATGAGCGATGTTGAGATGCACAAGGTGCATCTCCGGAAGCTGCTTGCGCTCATGCGCAAGCACAAGCTCTATGCGAACCTGAAGAAGTGCATCTTCGGGGCGAGCTTGACGGAAGCACCGATCTTGGCGGTGGCCGACCAAGATCGCCCGTTCCACGTTGTGTGCGACGCATCCGACTTCGCAATCGGATGTGCGTTGATGCAGGACGATCACGAGGGCCGTGACCGTGTCGTCTACTACCAATCGCGTCAGCTGAAGCCAGCTGAGCGCAACTACCCGGTTCATGACAAAGAGCTCCTTGCCATGAAGTATGCACTTGCGAAGTTCCGAGTGTATCTACTCGGAAGCAAACCGTTCGTGGTCTATACAGACCACGCGTCGCTGCGGACGGCTGTGAAGTCGCCGCACATCTCGCAACGGATGGCGAGATGGCTCTCATTCTTCGCAGAGTATAACTTCCGGGTTGAGTACAAACCCGGAAGAGGCCGACGCGCTCTCGCGTCGACCTGACCACGCCACGACTGAAGCCGACGTCAATGCCATTGACGCCATGCGATCGAGCACCCCAACGTCGTCACTGTTGGACGACGTGAAGGCCGCGTGCGCACACGACGCGGACGCGAAGCTCTTGCTGGCCAATGGCTCAGCGCCTTCTGACAAAGCTCGTCAGAAGCTGCCGAAGCATCTTCGTGCTCGTGCACACCGTTATCGCGTGCACGATGGGTTATTACTCTACAGTGCAGTCGACGACAACGCGGACCGCGTTGTCGTGCCCAATGACCATGACCTGCGACTCAGGATCATGTATGAGTATCACGATGCACCGACTGCGGGACATCCGGGCCGTGAGAAGACATACCTTCTTCTCACGCGAGACTTCTACTGGGCCAACCAGTATAAATGGGTGCGCAAGTACGTCCGTGCTTGCGAGGTTTGTCAACGTGTGAAGCCTGCGCCTTTCGCGCAGGCTCCCTTGCAGTCACTGCTGACTCCGTCGGAGTGCTGGCAGTCCATGTCTTTGGACTTCGTGTTCGGTCTTCCCCCGGACAGCCAGGGGAACACGGGCATTGTGGTCTTTGTTGACCGCTTCAGCAAGATGGTACATCTTGCTGCAGTACCCGCTGAAGTGACTGCAAAGCAGACTGCACGTCTGTTCGTCGACATGGTGTTTAAACACCATGGCATGCCGATCGACATTGTGTCGGATCGAGACCCGCGCTTCACTGCGCACCTTTGGCTAGAAGTGTTTACACTTCTTGGGAGTCAACTTTCGATGTCGACTGCGGACCATCCGCAGACGGACGGGCAGACCGAGCGCGTGAACCGCGTGCTCGTAGACGTGCTTAAGAGCTACGCTCACTCGCTCCAACACTGGAGCGAGTGCCTGCCGATGGCGGAGTTCGCCATCAATAACTCGGTGCATGCCTCGACCGGGCATACACCCTTCTACGTGAATGCCATCAGGCACCCACGCCTCCCGAGTCTACTCGGGATGGTGGCTCCTTCCTTAAGTGGGGGAGGATCTACGACTGCAACGCAGCAGCCGCAACGACACGAAGTAAAGCCAAGAACCGCGCGTCTGTGCAGGGCATAGACGCCGACAAGCGCACGAAGAACACGTCTGTGCAGGGCACAGACACCGACAAGAGCAAGAAGAAGAACGGGTCTATACAGGACACAGACACTCGCGAAGACGAACGCAGAGGCCGGGCCTACTGCTGGAACGAGCTGAACGAGTTCAGTTCGGACGCAATCAACTTCGTGCAGCACAGACAAGCCGTCATTCGGTTTGTCCAAGACGCTATTATTGCAGCTTCTGTTGATCGACAGAAGCTGAACGCAGACAACGTTGGCAGGAGCAACACAAATGAATTCAAGAAGGGTTCATTGGTTTTGTTAGCTACTCAAAACCTGCCTAAACATGCAGTTTCCGACTTCGGGGCGAGCAAGCTCGCTCCGCGCTTCATCGGGCCGTTCACTGTGCTGGCACGGCACGGCAACGCCTACACACTGGACATACCGTCTAGTATGCGCCTCCATCCGACGTTCTACGTCGGACGGCTGAAGCCATACCTGCAGTACGAGCTACCTAGCTCGGCTGAATCGAAGCAGAAGACTCGGCGGAAGCCGTCATCCTCACCAGCGCGAAGTCGCGCTGGAGCAGCGGGTCGAGCTAATGGTCCAGCTCGGCCGGAACAATCGAGACGGCCTGGGAGGCCGCCGCAACCTGAGGATACTTCAGAGCGCCGAACCCAGCGCTCTGGAACTACTCCACGACCGAAACTCGGTCGCGGGGAGACGCGAGATCAGGGTCAACACCAAGTTGACCACACACGAGGCGTGTTTCCTCCACCACCGCCGCCAATTCGTGACGCGCACGGCTCAACTCGATGGATAGTTGAGCGGATTGTTGGTCACAGTATCCCGAGAACGAACAGGCAACCGGTTCGTTTTCGTATCCGTTGGAGAGGATTCCCTCCCAACCAAGATGCATGGGAGCCGCGGAACGTCTTGCTCGAAGACGTCCCGGACATGGTGAGGGCGTACGAAGCCCACCATGCGCTACACGCTGGAAAGTAATACGAGCACTGTTGTTAACAACAGCACCCGAAGGCACTTCAAGGGCAGGCTGTGGGTCCTGCCCCGCGGCAGCGATGCGCTTCGCACGTTGCCGCGCATGCTACTCAGCAGCAGGGAGGTTCTCCGCTGCTGCGCCAGCGGTCTTCAACTTCGACGCGCTCGTTCCATAACGAGCGCGCTCTCTTCAACGTCACGCATTGACTAAGCGGTCAATGGTGGTTGACATGCCGGGACCGGCACGTCTAACCTTGACGGGGGGATGGTGTAACGGGGTTACACGCAAAAGTGGCTACAGTCACTTGTTACTCTAACAGATGCGATGTCTGTTAGAGGTTTGAACACTTCCTCGACCTTGGTGTAAGGTACACCAATGTCTACATACATTTACGACCACCACGACGGGTGGTCTATACACAGTTAGGATTCCTCTGGCTGAAAGCAGCATCTTTTAGCCAATGAGTGATTTGCATGTTAGCAGAATCCTGCCAACCAGCCGTTGGCAGATTCCTATCTTAGAATATTACATTTAGAGGAAGTCAGAAACATAAAACAAAAATAGCAGTTCTCATCTTTTCCCAAAACCCGCTACTTGGAGTCTTTATCTTGTTTAAAGTATACTCGTGGATCTCGAGTATACTTAACTCAAGTAAAAGAAACCTACGCTTCCTCATACACGTGCGCATACGTGTAAGCCGTAGTAGTGAGCCAAGGTAGGCCCACTACACTTGAACTCGGGTCCATTCATGAGCAAGCCGCGGAAAATGAACGAACTTGCGCAGCGACCGGCGTAAAGCCTTGAGAAATATACCAATCACGTCGATAGCCCAGGACTTCGAAATTGCAAACGCAGCCGTAGTTTCTCTATAGCCACCCTGCGAGCCGAGAAAAAAAGAAAACAAGCAACCTTCTCCTCAAAAGAGTGCTCCTTCATAAATCGATCTAGCTCAAAATCATTCAGCTCCTGACGCAGAACACCACAAAGCGGTAGAAACGTAGCTTGGCTACACCTGAGATTCTGTCGAAACCACTCGTCGTAGACCGCGTCGTAAAGCATAGCCTTAAACTCTAGCGGTGTCAGGGTAAGGATGTTCTGCTTTGGGTTCGAAATTGCCCACACAGCGGTGTGGACCGCCGTCGCGGGAGCCCCCGTGGCCGCAGCAACTGCAGCAACGATGCTTTCGCTCTGCACCATCCAAACGCTGTGAAGACGCTCGTCTCCAAAGTGAGACTGGTGATTTAGTCGTCTCAGATTGGTCAGTCCGGAGCCGATCGAGCTAATAACTGGCCAATCAAAAATAAGAAAAAATGTCGCCACATCGTCTAAGACGATCGAAAGCCGAGACGAGCGTTCCCCGACCAGGCCCTGACACCATCGAAATGAAAACTAGCCAATAATAAATGAAAATCAGACTTTTTGACCATAAATGGAAAGTAGCCGCTGAAAGAATGAAAAAAAACCGCGCCCGCCCGTGATCGACACAGTCTACCCATTCGATAAAGCGCTGGACGCCTTTGAGAAGTTGAAAACGGGCCACGCACAGGGAAAGCTGGTGGTTGAGGTGCACCCGTGAAACGAGCGAGACTCGGAGGACTTGTAGCTAAGCTTTTACTCTTTTATGTATCAGCATAAGACTACAAGGTTTGCTTTTCATGCGGTCGAGAACTTAAAAACTTTCTTTCACTTGCGAGCGCTACGACGTGCTGTCATCGTCCTTTCGCCTCAAGGCTGCACCTGCACCACCAGTTTTCCCTGTGTGTGGCGTGTCTTCAGCTTCGCGTAGGCATCCAGCGCCTTGTCGAACGGGTACACAGTATCAATCACGGGCTTGACTGTGCCGCTCTCGATGTACTTGGTAATTACGTCGAGTTTCTCGGCAGAAGGATCGGTGTTGTGAACTTCGCCTACGAGCTGTGCCCCGAACTCCGAGTCCTTAACAGGCTGCGTCATTGGCAGGATCGTGATGAAACGTCCCGTGTTCTTCTTGAGCACCAACTGCGCACCGTCGTTCCAGGCCGAGGGCTCCACCCCGCAGTCGTACACCGCATCAACAGAGTGCGGCGGCAACACGTCCACCCACTTCTCCTTGGTGTAGTCGACGACTTGATCAGCGCCGAGAAACTTGATGAGCTCAACGTTACGTGAACGCGTCGTCGCGATGACCCGAACACCTTTAGCGTGGGCAAACTGCACGGCAAACATACCGACGGAGCTGCTACCGCCGACAATGAGAACGGTCTCACCCTTCTGCAGCTTCGCGTGCCGCACCATACCGGCATAAGCTGTTAGCGCCACTGAAGGCACTGCGGCAGCTTCATTGAAATCCAAATTCTTGGGCTTCGCCGCAGCAAACTCTTCGTCAACGACCAGAAACTCGGCAAGGGTCCCAAAAGAGGTGAACGGTGTCATCAGATACACCGCATCTCCCACCGTCAACCGCTTTGCATCACTGCCGACTTCCACCACTTCACCAGAGCCGTCAAACCCGATGTCGAAGGGGTTTTCAGCCGACGGAGCCTTGCCTATGAACGCCTGGCCCTCAGACTCCAGCAGCATGTAGTCGATGGGATTCACCGCGGCGCTGCGTACCTTGATGCGCACTTCTCGGGGCCGAGAGGTTTCTGAGGAATGTTGTCGTGGATCTTGAGCTCTTTCTCGAGCGAGCCGTAGTTCTCGTACTGGTACACACGGAAGGTCTTCGGAAACGCCATTAGAGTGGTCTTGGTTGGGCTTGATATGTTTGTGTGCTTGGAGGCGAAATGAAATGTGAAATGTTGACAATTTCGACCGCTGGACCCCAAGTTGTGACAACGTAATCGGACTGCGACATCGTTTTGTTGATGGAGCACCTCGAACATAATCACCACGAATGGGTCTGAGTGATATGGCTCTAAGCCATGGGCCATGCAACTCGAGCCGAGCTCGGTCGAGCTGTTGAATGGAAATCAACTTTGCGGGTGATTGTTACCATACCATGGAAATTTTGAGGAGAACACTGCTAAGCGACGCACCCCTTCGCTATTGACCATGTCGGCTGCGGACCCCGAATCTGCCGACGAAGCCTATGCTAGCGATGACTACGAGCTTGAGTCTCCTGCGCGCTCGCAAGGCCCCCCGGCCCCCTCGCCAGTAGCTCCGACGCAGCAGCAGACGTTTTGGTTTGACACCGACACGCTGGAGGACGACGAGAGCGATGATGGAGCTGTCACGCCACTGCCGAAGACCGCCAGATCCCAGCGAGCTCGAACTCCTCGCGAGTCCGACACGATCAGTGGGCGCCATCTGATGGACAACACGCCCTGGACGTACACGGTGTCAGCGCTGCAGGTTCGGATGCTTCGGATCCCCGTCTCGGAGTCTGCCGCTGTTCGAGAGCTGAGGGTGTTCGCGACAATAGACAAGCAGGCGGCGCAGTCGAGGGGGTCGAAGTGGAAACAGGAGCTCCAACCGACTGGAGGCTCTCCGCTTCGCTCGACGACGACGAAGAAGAGCACGAGGAGGAAACCACTGCCGACTGGTGGGAGGTTTGATGCGTACCGACGGAGCGGCCCAATTGAAGAGGCCAAGTGGGTGAGAGGCGACGGGAAGCTTCAGTGGACCTTCCCCATGGAGAAGTTCCGTCGCTTGAAGGCGTACGCTCCGAGGATCAAGGCGTTTGTGTATGGCATTGGCGACACGGTGATCGAGAATCACTCACAGGCACAGATGGAGCACCTTGCGCGACAAGAGAAGGATAGCCCAATTACAAGCTTTGGGTGGTTCTTCCTAGACCTAAGGTGAGCTATGTTATCTAGTATGCAAATCATTACGGGACTGTATCCCACTAACGACAGCTTGTTGTTGTGCGCTGCTTGAAGGACGCCAGATCTACCAGAACGGTGGTTAAAGTTACAGAATTCACCGTTTGGTGGCGAGGTTTTGATCTCCAGTACATTTTCACCTGGAACGATCTCACCAGGTTCACCAAGGCCAAGTAAGAAAGGGTTACCCTCTAGCAGACGGCAAGAGAAAGCCGGGGCTGCAGCCAACAGATCAGGAAAAGCGCCGACAGCATCGACTGTGGTTTCAGGTGATAACGGGGAGTACTTGCAGATTGGAGACAGCGATGGCCAGGAGATATTTGTTCTCTCTGTCTTCATCCAGGCAGCATTGAACCTCTCCAAAGTCGTTGAGGCTGCAATTAACGAGGATCGGGACGAGCTCGAGCGAACGGGATTCTGGCTCAGCTACTCGCTTTTTGACGTCGTCGTCCAGACAGATGTGTTCTACAACCTGAGTGTTGCAGAGTTTTCTCCCATCCGTGATAGTTTCCGAGTCAAGAGCAGCCTGCGGGACCTGGCACTTTGTATCGAGGACTTGGCTTGTCTTACGGTGTTCATGTGCACGGAGAACCGGGTGCTTGCAGGAGTCGAGATTCCTTTGCTTCCGATACTCTCTAAGGAGCTCTTCTCGAGCTCCGACGGAAAGGATCACGAATTGAATCCGGGTGATACTTCTGAGATTGAAGGAACGTTTTCGTTCCCAGATTTTGATGAAGCAGTTGTGACTGCTTCAGTTACAGTGGAGTTTGTGGAGTCTGAGAAGTCAAAATTTGACACTTTGCAGCGACCTGCTGACATGAGTCCTTCAAAGCAGCTCTCTGGCATCAAGAGCACCAGCAGAGATACCACAGAGCAAAGCACATTTGTTAATATTTCTGGATTGCCGAGTGAGAAGTCCGCAAACGAGCAAATTTTATTCAAACTGGACCACTTGCGCTTGAAAAGTGCGACATTGGCTCCGTTCACAGGCGCAGAAAGTATTTTGATCGAAGTGGCTATTGGAGAGCAACATTCCTCCGGAAATTTAGCTTTTTGTGCGTTCACGAGGCATCACGCATATGCAACCAGCCCAGCAGTGGGGGTATTGTTGGAGAATGTATCAAGTCAGACTGCCGTGGACACACCTATTCGAATTCGCTGCTTGTTGTCGGACTCAGATCAATTGGTTGCGAATTCATCAATGGGGTCTATAAGCATTGCTCAGGATGATGAGGGGTATCCAAAATCAATTGTGCTGCAGATTATGAATGAGGCTTCCCGACTCGTCGGGCAATGCAGGTTGGTTTGTAGTCGCGGGTCTGCTGCTCGCCAGATGCTTGGGCGCAAACTACTGGACGAAACAAGCAGCGAGAAACACCATTATCGAATATGCTTAAGATTGAAATCTGTTCGAGATATCGAGCTTCCTGGTGGATACTGTCTTCGTTACCAGAATCCCTTCCTTAGTTCGGCATTACGTAAGTCACTGCAGCCGTTCTAGTCTGTTGAGGCGCGATTTACTAATGTTGTGCTTAGTTAGCAGTGACTGGTTTACGGTGATAGACAAAGGTGAGGTGGAGATGCTAGGCTTCTACTGTATATTCGATGTACAGAAGGACCCCGCCCAGCTTAAACAAGACATGCAAGAGTCAGTCAATGTTGACTTAGTCTCAAGTGGCGAAGACAGGTAGGCTTCATTGTACATTGTACATGCGTGAAATGACGCCATCGATAACCTTGTATTATTGCTGGACGTAGGGTGGGGACTGCTGTTTTCAGCTTAAGTTACTTGTTTTTCTCAGAAGAGCGGTTTTGCTGTTCCGAGGGAAAATGTGAGCAGATATTTGCTACACAAGCGGAAACAGAGGCTCATTGGCTGGAAGTGCATACTGCTTCAGCGTTGCCGGACACCGATGCTGGGCCAGAAGTATATTCGCATTCGTATCGAAGTTGCTCGATAAACATTCCAATTGTTTGTGCTGGAGGGGATAGTGGGGCAAGATCGCGCCGTGTCGGTTCCATTCGTGTGTCGGCGTATTTAGAAGACGTGGGACTCGTCAGAGACACAACTGAGGCTACTATGGGGTCGAGGTATGCAATCCATCTTGACATATTAGCAAGGCTTGAAGGCCTAATGACTAAGTTGGTGTATGAATTGTAGGTTCGCTGTGCCCACACCGACTGCAATGGAAACAGAAGACAAGACAGAGGCAGCTGCAACAAAATCTCCTTTGATCGACAGTCCTTGTGAACGAAATTTGACTGAAGAATCAAGTGGTCTGTCGGCGGCGCGAGGAGCGGAAGAAGCAAAACCACATTCGTCTTCAACGAGACAAACTCATATCGCTGCTGACAATTTACTCTCGACCTCTGAAGAAGAGAGCTTCAACCGTGCACGCGAGCAACAAAAGGAAGCTGCACAGCTCAAGGAGGCCTTGGAGCGAGAAAGGAGTGCATGGAAACAGGAGCAGCATCTTCAGCAATTACAATGGAAACGCCGCTTTGCAGAAATGGAGAAGGCTCGGATGGATGAGCTGGAAGAAGAATGGGCGCGTCGTGAAGAAGAGCGAAGCAACTTGCTGAAGTCAGCACAGGAAGAATACCAGCGACTCGAGCAAACGCTTCGGAAATCGTTAGCTGACTTAGAAACGCGAGAACGCCGACTGACCGTCGCCGAAGCAGCTCTGCAGCGAGAGCAGGAGGCGAAACGCGATGAGAACGAGTCTCTGCAGCGGCGTCTTAAAAGTGAGCAAAGCCACACCTTATCGTTGGCGAAGAAACAGACAGAAGCGTACGAGCGACGGATATCTCTGCTCGAGTCCCAACTAAGTGATGCTGAGAGGCGAGCCAAGCAAGTGGAGACAGACTTTGCTGAATACCGTCAGCAGCAGCGGAAACTCCCCGAGTCTCGCCTGAGAGAAGAGATCGCGGCGCTGAAAGGTAGCGTGGCTGAGCTGGAAAAACAGAAAATGGTCAAGGAGCGCGAGTGCGAGGTTGCCCAGGCAAACGTGCAGAAAATGAAGGCGCAACTGGAACACGTATCCAGCTTGCTAGCTCAAGAGAAAAAGAAGCACGAAGCACGAGTTGTCGATGAACTGGAGAAGCTTCGTGTCAAGTACATCGCCCGCGAGGAGAAATACGTACTGGACGGTGATCGAGACGAGTTACGTGCCATCAAACAGCAGCTGGACGAGCTCAAAGGGTTCAATCTGCGGGGTGGCAACATGAAACAAAGCTCGCGTAGGCATCGCTCGCCGTCACCACAGCATCGTCGCAGTCAGCAATGGCACACACAAAGTCGCCATACCGCGTTTGCACGCCAAACTCGCTCAGGAAACCAGCAGTACCAGGATCAACCTTCAAGTTCGTTCTCTGACCGCGCATCTGAAGATGGAAGTGCCTGGGAGGTTCATTCCTTTGTCGAAACCAATCGAGCTGCCACGGCTCCACTCGGAACTTCACGTCATGAACTCAACACTAGCGCTTCACCTCGAAGAAGTGATCCCATAGCCGTATCCATGCGTGGGAATGCAAGTACGGACGATGGTGATTTAGCGGCCTCAGTGCTTTCGTATGAAGGGCCTCCCGATTCGGAGCTTGCGCGACTGATTCGCGAGCGAAAATTGTTACTTGCTAGCGGAGCTTACGACGCACAGAGCAATTTGGTACGCGAGCTTGACCGACTGATCAAAGTCACCAAGGCGAATGCCGAGCACCAGCTTTCCATTGCGCAGAAGCCTTAGATCACCAGCTCAAACTCTTTGAAACATTTTATTTTTTGTAGTGTTCGCATTTTTCCACACAGCAAAACGAAGACGCCTAGTTCTTGAACTTTTCAAAGGCTTGGTTCAGCACAGTAAACAGCTCCTTCGCCTCCAGCTGCTCCGGAATCGTAGCGCCACGGAGTTTGTCGGGGTGAACGACTCGAATAATATTCCTGCAGCAACATCCAAAATATACAAGTTAGACACAGGTAGGTATCGGCACAACACAACAAAGGCTCTAGACCGCACCGGTAGGCCTTGCGCACTGTATCATCGTCCGGGGACTGAACGACCATCAGTTGACACTTCTTGAGCGCATCGTTGGAAGAAATCTGGTCCAAGGTCAGAATCATGTGCAGGAGTTCTTTGCCAAACGCCCACATCTCCACTCGCCGGTGTATATCTCCTCGGACTGCATCTGCTTCATCAGCCTCTAATTTCTTCTTCATCTCTAATTCGTGTCGCTCGCGCAAGCGCGCTTGTTGGCGGAGATACAGCTCCGTGTCAGCTACGGTAGGTTCAGGAGGCAATGGCAGCATCTCGGAATTGTCATCCTCTGCCTCACTTTCTGACGTTTTACTTTCACGCCGGGGATAACGAGATGGTGGACCATCAGCATCGATGTTGTCATCGCCATGGGGCCGTGGGGGATCAGTAGGATGAGCTGGTGGAGAAACCTGCGGCTCCTTCTGCTCCTTCTGCTGCTGTTTGCTGTTCATTTGCTGCCGCATCTGCGAAACACGGACAGTCTTCATGCTTGCCGGTCGTCTTCTTCCGTTGCGCCGCGCCTGCTGCTGCTTACGCTTGCGCTCACGCTCCTCCTGCGCCATCTTCTCCCACTCCTTCTCGTATTCCTCCTTCTTTTTCGTCTCTTCATGCTCCTTCTCCTGCTTTTGCTTCAATTTTTCGTTGCGCTTTCTTGCACGAGCCTCCATGTACTCGTTCATGCGACTTTTACTCGTACTGTGTAAATTGTCGCCTCCACTCATACTTCGCCGCTTTTCTCGGGTCTTGGACGATGTAGGAGAGCGTGACGAGCGCTTTACGTGATTATCCAAACTGGCCTTCCGAACTTTTTGGTGCACTTCCGTTTTGATTTTACCGACCACCGCGTTATCGTCTTCATCCGAGGAAGGCGAGTCGGACGACAGCGATGACACCGACGACGACTCCGATAGACGTTCCACCTTCTTGATATCCAGATTCGGTGCTTGGCTCTTTTCGACGTCAGGCTCGTCAGAATCATCCTCTGAAGACGAAGAAGACGATGATGACATACCACTGTGAGCTCCGATTGTATTCGATGCCTGCCCCCGCTTCTTCGACGGATCTGCAAATCGAGTTGGTAATTGTGTCGGTTTGTCCGATGCCTCATGCCACTCATGACTTTCATCGTCATCATCGTCTGATTCACTTAAGCTGCTCGAGTCCGCATCAGCACCTGCATCGGAATGAATCAGCTGCGAAGGAATATCCACGGGAACAGGAGGGACAGCTGCAAGTGGCACATGAACCTCGTGCACAGCAACTGGTGGAGGAGGCGGTGGCGGCGGCATCTCGTCGTCATCCGACGAGTCACTTGAAGATGACTCACTACCAAATATGCTATCACTGGACTCGTCTTCATGGTGAGATGGGGACTTGGCCACGTACATGCGAGGGCGTTCCTTCAACACCTTGCTGTGTGCAAATCCTTGGCGCGGAGGGAGTGGTGACGCGAATCCAGCTTCACCTGTCGCTGCGCCGTCCGTGCCATCGTCTTCAGACTTCGTAATGTTCAAACCGTTTCTTGGAGAAGACCCCCGCTTGAATCTTGACGAAAGCTTCTCGAAGAAAGTCACTGACGTACCAATAGCTTTACCGGTCCCCGCAGCAGTCTTGTCGTCTACCGGTTTTTCAGGGGGCTCTGGTGAGATCTTGATTGTCTGCGCTGATGCAGCACGGCGTTTGCCTTCTCTCATCGACGGCTTCGGGTTATCATCCGTGAAGCTCGACGCCGAAAAACCTCGCGAGCGGCCGCGGCTTCGACTTGGACTGGATGCTCCGCTCGTAGGGGACGTCGCTCCAGCAACGCTTGGCGCTGGTGCTGGTGCAGCTGCAGTTGGACTGGACGGAGATGAGCTTTTACCAGCTGTAAAATCAAAGCTTGCGAGCTCAGCGTCGGCAGTCACAGTCGCGATGCTATCCCTGGGGTAAGCAGCTTCGTCTTTCCCTTCCGATGCGTCGGGGAAAAACCCAACCGACGCCGCAGTAGCCGCCGCTGCAGTAGCGCCTATCGTTGCTTGAAGCGCGGTCAGCTGCTTGCGAAGATACTTTTTCTCCTGCTGTTCCTTCTCCAGCTGGAAATTAAGTCCGCGGCTGATGGCCTCTGCATCTTCGCACCGCTTCAGCAGAGTCTGATAATCATCGCTAGCGACCACTTGTACTGAAGTCGGCTTCTGGTGAGCCGTAGCTGTCAACTGCTGTTCCACTTCGCGCAACTTCTTCACCAGCGCTGCATTTTCAGCTTGCTTTTCCTGGATCTGCGCCTCCGCAGCCTGCAGCATTTTTTCGTGCCGCTTTTTCTGCGTCTCCATTTCACGTTGCAGCTCGTGCTCCTTCAGCTCCCGCTCTCGCCGTGCAAGTTCCTCCGACGTGGCAGCGTCCGCGCGTAGCTGTTCACATTGCGCCGTCAGCGCCACCAACTTCGTCTGCATCTCGGCCGACTGCAGCTCGAACTGCTCCGAGTGTCTCGCCATCTTCTCGCTGGCCTTCATCAGCTGCTTGTTGCGCTTCTCGATGATCCGCTGACACTCCTTCGTGCGGATCGCGTACTCCTCCTTCTCCTTGTTTGCCTCACTGAGCTTTGCCTCCAGCTCCTCGGCGCGCTTCTGGGCCGTCTCCAGCTGCGCTGTCAGCGCCTTCATCTCCGACTGCTTCTTGCTCTGGCGGAGCTTCACGCGCTCGTGGAACGTCTCGAGTGAGTCCCCAGCGTCGTCGTCGTTCTCGAACAGTCCCTTTCTCTCGCCTAAGTGTCCTCCATTGTCCCCGGCACCGACAGACGAGCTGAGCGACGTCGCGGACGTCGAGAACATTGTGCGGCGTCGGAGGTCTCCCATTGACTGCGCGTTGGACGAGCGGCTGCGGCTCGCAGCCCCCAGCATCGGCGGCATCGCGCCCACCCTCTGCCCACCGTCATTCTCGTTGTCGGACGCGTCCGAGTCGCCCGAGGAGGACGAGGAAGACGAGAAAAGGCCGCCGTTGCGGCCGCGACTGCTGCTCCCCGCCGCGGCGCGAGCGCTCGGGAACAGGGGGCCGTCTGGAGAGGATAAATACACAGGGGGGTAAGCAACACATAGGGGAGGCTGGCAAGAACCCTACACGTACGCACCTTTCGCCCCGGGACCCACCGTGGCGCGCCGCATGACGTCACACAAGAGCTCGATTGCGGCGGATTGCGGTCTGAGAACTGCGAGCTGTATATGGGACCAAAATATTTGGGTGTGCTTAAAATATAGTCCCAATTGTATCTTGGAGCAAGTCGCTTGACTTCACTAAGGCTCTACTCCATTGGCGCCGAAAAGTTGCAACCGTCGCAATGGTGGCGGCTTCGGCGAGCGGCAGCGACGTGGAGAAGCTCAAGAAGAAGCTGCGCAAGCGCGTGACCCAGGCTCTGGACGAGGTCTGCGGGGAATATGCGAGCGAGCAGCAGCAGCGCACGCCGCTGCAGCAGTCGGACGTGAGCATGGATCAGACCTACGGCAGCTGCAAGAAGCTGGTGGCCTACATCTCGGACAACATGGCCACGTCGCCGGGCTTCGTGGAGCAGATGGACCGCATCATCCTTGCTTGCTTCAGCGGCGCCTCCAAGCGCGTGCTGAGCACAGTCGCGACCGAGGAAGTCTGGTTCCGAGCTGATGCGGAGGTGCAGCAGCAGCAGCAGCAGCAGGAGGCTCTGCCAAGAGCCCGCAGTCACGATGGACCTCGCGGCCACAAGAAATTCACGGGGAAAGCAGCAACTAGTTCTACGCCTGCTGTTGACGAGCCTGTTATCAAGGTGGAGAGAGTTGAAGTGAGTGCTATTGGTGGTGGTACTCCTGCAGACGGTGCGGGGCTAAAGAGTCGCGAGGTGGCGGGCTCCGTGCTGGCGAAGCGACCTAGGAGCAGAACCAGCAAGAAGAAGCTGTCGACCAAGAAATCGCTGCAGGCGCTGGTGGTGACGGAACCGAAGACGACTAAGCGACGCGCGGACACTGCGAGCTCTGCAGAGGAGAGTGTTGAAGCGGGAGCTGAAACGGAGACGGACGTGGAGAAGGAGGAACGAAAGAGACCCAAGAAGAAACCGACGACTCAGAAGAAAGCGGCAGTGCCGGTGGAGGATGAACAGGGGTTGCTGACGTTCAAGGAGGCTATCGGCGAGCTTTGCTACCAAGAAAATCGCACGCCCGAGCAGACCGAATTTTTCAAGGAGCGTCTACGCAAGTCGATCCAGTTCGTAGACGCTTTGCTTTGCCGGTCGCCTCCGGGTAAAGTGTGCACGCGCACTTGCAACAAAATCCGGGGATCGATGTGCAACAGCACCGTGCCGTGTGAGGACAAAATGTGCCGGATCTGGCACGACGTCGAGGCGCACACAGATCGCTGCAAGAACACGAAGTGCGAGTTCAAACTCCGAATCTTAGTGCGAGAAACGATGCACAAACTCCACAGTAAGCAGTTGGAGATTAAGAATGCCAGCCAGAAACTGCGCAAGAAGAACGCAGCTCTGGACGACTTGAATGCCACCGAGCTGAGCGAGCCGGGGACGTTTGCAGACACGATCTCAACGCTCGAAAGCGAGATTGGGAAACTGGAACAAGGGCTTGTTGACGAGGAAGCCGAAATGGCCGAAATCAACGCTACTCTTGAGAGGTACTGGACGACCTTGAACGAGATCGGGATTGAGTCGAGACACGACGAGATCGACAAATTCCCAGAGTTCGTGACGCACTATGTGATCAAGAAGAAGCGGCGATAAATGGCGGGATCATCCGAGCCAAGCCATTCTGCAGGTAAGCTTGCATGTGTTTATCACCGTCCACACTTGCTGCTATTGCTGATCTGCAGAAGAATAGTGTTTGGCTATTTATTTTGTTGCCGCAATAAAAAAAAATCCTTAACGGTATACTTCCTACTATTTTCTTACTGTAATACGTATTAATAAACGAAAGAAAGAGCTTTTGGAATGAATGAACGTTCAAGCGAATCCGACCCTGGCGCTCGAGGCACGAACCCCGCGAAGACTTTAGCCCCAGGGCCTTGCATGATCCTATCTTCCCCCTCAGCCCATAAACCACAGCAAAATAAATACATCTGAGAGCAAGCGAAGTTTGGCGCATCAACACTAATGTTGACGGGGCATCTGGTTCTGTGAAACCCTAGCGATTGAACTCTACTCGTCCTGTGGTTTACACTTTGCATTTTGCGTTCAAGCCCACAGACACGCCAAGCCCAACCAAGCCCTTCACCGCTCTAAATGGCGTTTCCGAAGACCTACCGAGCGAGAACTACGGCTCGCTCGAGAAGGAGCTCAAGATTCACGACACCATTCCTCAGAAACCTCTCGGCCCCCGACAAGTGCGCATCAAGGTGCGCAGCGCCGCGGTGAATCCCATCGACTACATGCTGCTGGAGTCTGAGGGCCAGGCGTTCACGGGCAAGACGCCGTCTGCCAAGCAGCCCTTTGGCATTGGCTTCGATGTCGCCGGTGAGATCGTCGAGGTCGGTGCCAACGTCAAGCGACTGAAGCTGGGAGATGCGGTGTACGCCATGACACCCTTCAGTGCCTTCGGGACCCTGGGCGAGTACGCCGTGGTGGACGAAGAGTACGTCGCAATCAAGCCCAGTAACCTGAACTTAATGAGGCAGCTTCGGCCCCACTTGTGGTCTTGACAGCATATCAAGGAATGTTCACGCATGCCAAGCTGCAGAAGGGTGAGACCGTACTCATCCTCGGTGGCAGCAGCGCTGTCGGCATGTACGCGGTGCAATTTGCGCACGCGATTGGCGCGTACGTGATCACTACCGCCAGCGCGGAGAAGGCCGAGTTCGTCAAGTCTCTGGGTGCTGACCAGGTCATCGACTATCGCACCGAGAAGTGGCTGGATGTGGTGAAGCCGCACTCGGTGGATGCCTTCTACAACTGCGGCATGGAGAACGCGGCTTGGAACGAAGGTGCTCAGGTGGTGCTCAAGAAGAACACGGGCGCTTCGTCACGATCCTCCATCCCGTCAAGGAGGCAGAGTTCGGTGCCAAATTGGTCGGCCACGTCCATGTGGTTCCGTCAGCCAAGACCCTGCACGAGGTTACGAAATACATCGAGAGTGGCGATGTCAAGCCCGTGATCGACACGGTCTATCCGTTTGAGAAGGCTGTCGATGCGTACGCGAAGCTCAAATCTCGCCACGTACTAGGCAAGCTCGTTGTGGAGGTGCAGCAGTAAGAATTCGACCGGGCTTCATTGCCTTGGGAAAAGTGAGCATACAGGCGTAACTTACCACCAAAGACGACAAAGTGCTATGCATCCACAGCCGATTGAACATAACACTGTTTGAAAGGAATTTTCGTTTTAAAAACGTTTTCATAAGAAGAAATGCTCCGCTTCAACAAAGGGTACAGACCGAGTCTATCAAGGAGGCAGACTGCGGCAAAAAATTGGTCGGCCACGCCCACGAGGTCTCGTCAGCCAAGATGCTGCGTGAAGGTACGAAGTACATCGAGAGTGACGAGGTGAAGCCTGTGGCATTCGTTCGAAAAGGCTTCGACGCCTACGAATAGCTCAAAAAGCAGCATGCACTGAGCAGACGAGCAGTGTAGATTCTTGGACGCTATAGCGAGGCAACTCACGCGTTGGATATACAGGTAACTCTTCAATACCCACGTGCACACACAGTTTGCGAACTTCGCCTAATTTTCAGCGTGGATTTGGAGCTCTTTGACGTCTTTTTTGTATCGCGTTGTGCAATAAAACCAGAAACCCACAGAAGAAACAAGGTGCAGCTGAGCTCGGATGCGTGCGGGCGGAGACGACGGAGGCCCCTGCGGCACCAACAGAGCAGAGGTGGCGACGTCATCGGCGTCTTCTGTGACCGATCGGCTACGCGAAAGTTTAACGGAGACCGCGCGGTTGCTCGAGGACTTTGAGCGGGAGCAGCAGCAGGCAACGCGGCAATCGGCGGCCACCCCCGACTTGGAGACGTACACACACTGCTGCCACCAACTGGTCGCTTATATGGTGACGCACATGCAAACGTCTCCGGGCTTTGTGACCCAAATGGAGCAGGTTATTCGTGCAAGCTTCGACCACTCGGCTTTAAACACGGCGGTGACAGAATCTCTCTGGGTCCGCTACAATAGCAGCTCACAACGCGCAGATTCCGGCACTCAAAGTCCTAATGTCCCGCAGACTCCTGCTCGTCAAGGGCATATTATCAAGACAGACACGGCTGTAGACAACGCAGTCACCGTGACCCCACTTGCTGTCGCCAATGCAAGCGTGACTGGGTTGAGACCGACGTGCTCCCCACACGTGGACTTGACGTCTACTCCCCCTACAGTGGGAAGAGGGGGAAAGCGTCAATCGAGGATGCAGGAGGGTCAGGAATCCAAGCGCCCGCGACACATTGTGGCTCGGAACCTATATGGCGCAGGAAGACTTGATTGCGAAGAGAAAGACGACGAGAGCGGACTAGAAAGCAAGAAGGAGTCTGAGACCGAAACGGAGACGGAGACAGACGAACAAGGGTCGAGTCAACCCGCCCAGACAAGTGAGGGCTCTGTTGCAGGGCTTGTTTGGCCGTGCGCTGGTGGCGATCCAATGAATCGAACTCTGGCTTACAAGCAGCGTCTGAAGACGGCTATAAAGCTGGTGGATGCAGAAAATTGTAGCCCGCCACCGGGAATGGTGTGCACGCAAGGATGCGAGCGCATTCGCTCTCGAATGTGCGAGAACCATCGTACACAGGGAGGGAACGCAATGCCGTGCCACAACGGAATGTGCTGTATTTGGCGAGATATCGACACACACACGGTGCGCTGCCAAAACTCTCAATGCGAGTTCAAGAACAGTGTGGGCTTGCGTCAAACAATGCACGACATCCAACAGAATGAACTGAAGCTTGAGGCGACAAACCATAAACTACAAGCGACTCGGGTGATGCTTCGTGGTGTGGGTGCTGGCTGTGACGGTGATTCTGGAAACTCAGCTTCTCAGCTTGAGAGTAAGATGAAGAAATTGGAGGAGAAATGCGCCAGGCTGGAGGATGCTGTTGTTTTTCACAAGGAAAGAGAGCGGGCGTTCAGAGATGACCTTCGTGCCATTGGAGGAAACGAGGAACTCCAAACCTTCAGGAGCCATTACGCGAAAAAGAGATCGAGGGACTGAGGAATGGCGGTCGACATTTCAACGAAGAGAAACGTACTGCTCAACATCAAAGGAGGCTATTGTTTGGTATTGAAATAAAAATGAAGTATTATGTGTGCAGTTCACGGCTTCTTACGCTGGTGGCTTCTGGTAGTGTAGTGTGAAGCGAAGTCCGGAACTCCATCAAGTTTGTCCGACTGGGTATCGATGCCAATGCTACTTAAAGTGGCCCATTGCTGTAGCTTCGTATCGAGCAGAATGAGCAGCTCGCCGTTCAAGTTCTCCAAGTCATGCTCCAAAGTCTCGATCCGTTTGAAGGTTTCGGCATTGCCGACACTGACCCTCTCCTGGTTACTACGTCTCGTCGGGGACAGAAGATCTGCTTTCGCGCGCCTCAAGGCGTCAGCGGCGCTAGTGATCTCTTGTTGCTTCTGGTCGATGAGATGCACCGTCTCGCGTAGCGTGACCCGGGTTTTGAACTCACACTTCTCATTCGGACAACTCTCAGAGTGAGTTTCTGCGTCGTGCCAAGCGTGACAAACCGGATTAATGCACGGCGTAAACTCGTCGCACATTTGCGCCCTGATTGACTTGCAGTCTCGAGCACAGGAGTAGCCCGGCGGAGGCTTGCACAACAATGCATCCACGATCTCGATAGTGTCACGAAGGCGTGTTTTGAACGCTTTGTTTTGCTCAGACGACCGTGCCTTGAGAGTACAAAGCGTAGCAATTGGATCTACCGCAGCGAGAGCATTGGACTCGTCGGTATTGGACTTCATTAAGCTATCCAACATGGACTGAAATCTCACTTTTGCCACTTGCAGTCCATACACTTCGTCCCCGGCTTCCAAATCTTTCGCCACTTTACACAGCTCCGCTTCAATAGAAGCACTCTTTTTCTCCACAGCTTGTGTCGCATCGTGCTTTTCTTCCCCAGCACTCCTGCTATTTACCCCGCCGGCACTTCCACGCCTCGCTTTTGCTGACACTGGTGTGTTTACTGTCTTGACGACCGCCTTCCGAGCAGGCCTCCCCATATACTTCACGAGACCCTTCTTACCGTCCACTTGCTGGTTTGGGTTGGTGCTTGCCTCGTTGGTTGTATCCTGAGAAATCGTAGATGCAGCTCCGACTGCTAAACTCTGATTCTTCACCGCGAATGGGGTTTCTTGCGTTGCAGGAGGATACGCATTTGGCTCCGCTTTCGTCTTATTGTGCTCCCTAGCAACCGATGCGGCTGGTTGATTGTTAGGTCTCTCATCTTGCGAGGTGTCCGATTCCGTTGAACTTTGGCCGAGAGGTGGGCGCTCCCGTCGGGCTCGTTTCGAGGGCGCCACTGCGGCTTTTGGTCGCCTTCTAGTCACCAAACGTTTCCTCTTTCCCCACTCTCGAGGTAGCGACACTGCCCCTCCATCCGAGCTCTCCACGGTGCTCTTCGAATCCGTTCTCTCATTAGCCCTGGACGTGTCCACTCGTGGCGGCGTAGTCTTTTCATGCGTTGGCTGAGAAGCCCTTTGGCAGTTTTTAGGCGCCTCAACACCATCCACATTCGAGACGTTTACTTCAGTGAGATTGTTCTTCGATCTCAAGGCGACGCTGCTACCGCCACTTGCTTCATCTGCTATATCAGACTCAACCCGTACACTTGGGCTGAGTGCCCTTGGGGTCTCCTGCTTTTCCTTTGGAACTTCCGACACCACCTTCCCACCTTTAGAGTCCACTTCACCCACACTCTTCTCCTCATCATGACTTGTAGCAGATTGGTTGCCACCGTTCAAATGCACATCCGCAGTCTTCTTCGACGCACCCTGCTCAGCTGCACCCTTGTCTCCCACGCATTTCCGACGGAACCACAGATTCTGCTTCACCACTGAGTTGAGCACTTTCACTGGCGCGTTGCTCTGGCAAGCCAGGATGATGCACTCCATCTGCTGCGTGAAGCCCGGGGACGTGTCCATATTGCGCTCAATGTACTCCACCAACCGTCGGCAGCAATCGTAGTCCGTTTCGAACGCCGACGCGCCGACCTGCGGCCGGATCTCGGACAGAGCAGGCTCCTGCGGCTTCAGCTCCTCCGTGAAGGACTCGCACACGTCGTTCACCGCCTGCGCCACATGGCTGCGCAGCGAGCGCTTGAGCTCCGCCTTCAGACGACTCACCACCGTCTCGGCCATCTCGCGGATACTTTTTGCTTTTTTTGGATACTATTTTAGGATAATTGCGATTTGGTAAGGCGTTTGCCATCAGGGCCGTATAAATTTTGTTTGCTAAATCAAATCAGGACTCTGAAAGTTAGAATTAGCACGCCAGATTTGGGCACAACAGCCCTCCTCGATCTACACTCCTGGCCAAATTAATCCGGCCACCCACACTTTTGGCCGTAGCTCCGTCAATTTTTAAGTACTCGCACTGCGCTTTTGATATGTCCTTTGTACTGTACTTAAGTATAGAGTAGTAGGGTGTTTGTGTTAACATCCTGGGTTTTGCGGTTTGTACTGTAGCTCCCATACAATAAATCACTTTGACCATAAAACAGGGCGACCTTTTATCTGCAAAGCACTATACCATTGTGCGACACTCCACAACCGCCTACGTAGGTGGATAATCGATACTCTGTATGAAGTTATCATTTGCTCAAGAAATATAGACTCGATGCTCTCGTTGGTCATCATTTTGTCTCTGGAATAGTCAACCGACCCAAATAAAATACCTTTTCGTATTTGAGGCTTAGGCGCCATTTGGAGTTATCGAGATAATCGCGTTTAAATTTGACCAATCAATTTTCGGAAATAACCGGACATCAAAATTTTGAAAGTGAAAAGCACACGTAAAAAGCGTAAAAACACTCTGATTCGCTTACTTTTAACGCGAGATTTCCGATAATATACAATTCGTTAAAATTGGAAAAATATTGAGGTCACACGCCCCAAATAAAATCGTGAATTTAGGGGGTCAGAAAATGGAGATAATTTTTCTAGACCGATGTCACTCCGCGAGTTCCTAACATTTCAAAGCATTCGATAGCTTAAACGAAGCACAAGAGAGGATGTTAGCAAATTGGTATTTTACGAGTTGGGGACAAAGACACTTGACCACCGCTGTCTATGTTCCCGAACTCGTAAGAGGGTAGTTGTGTTAGTACGGAATCTCCCGAGAAACTCGTAAGGCTTTTTCACGAGACTACAAGCCTTCTGATTGGCTCGTTACTCTCATCCTGCATTTCCCCCTCGAGCACCATCGCCGCCATGGCGCTTACAGGTACATGTAGCACCGCGACTCGATTCGAGTCGCGGTGGTTCGAGTCACTCGAACCACCAGTGCCCCCGCTAATCCGTGTGACGTCCTTGCCTCTCCCAGCGAGGCACACGAGGATGACGACGATTCCGCTGCACGTCTTAAGTCATAACGGCGCGTCGAAGTAGAGTAGGCAGCCATTGACCACAAAGAGCAGCATAAAGTAGAATATGTTGCTTAGAGTAGTGATGTCCGAGTGTAATGGGCCTACTTTGGCTCACTACTACGGCTTACACGTATGCGCACGTGTATGAGGAAGCGTAGGTTTCTTTTACTTGAGTTAAGTATACTCGAGATCCACGAGTATACTTTAAACAAGATAAAGACTCCAAGTAGCGGGTTTTGGTAAAAGATGAGAACTGCTATTTTTGTTTTATGTTTCTGACTTCCTCTAAATGTATTATTCTAAGATAGGAATCTGCCAACGGCTGGTTGGCAGAATTCCAATGCTATGCATGTCGCTCATTGGCTAAGAGATGCTGCTCTCAGCCAATAGGAACCCTAAGTCTCTATGGACCACCCGTCGTGGTGGTCGTAAATGTATGTAGCCTTTGGTGTGTCTACACCAAGGTCGAGAAAGTCTTTCGAACCTCTAACAGACGTCGTATCTGTTAGAGTTACAAGTGGCTGTAGCCACTTGTGCGTGTAACCCTGTTACACCATCCCCCCCCTCAAGGTTAGACGCGCCGAGTCACGGCACGTCAATCAGGAAATTGACCAATCGTCAATTCTTCACGTTGGGAGAAAGAAAACTCGAGCTCATTCCGCACTGAGCTCGCCGCAGAAGAAGACCGCCGCCGCAACAGAGGGTGACCTCTCTGTTGCTCAGTACCATGAGCGCCAGCAGGCAAAGCGCGATGCGCTCGCTGCAAAGGCCGCGTCGGGGACAACCCAGTCGGAGATTGTCCTCGAAGGTTCCTCTGTAGTCAACGACGCCGTTGACTACGAAGACGACGACGTGGAGATGGAAGAGGGCGAGGCCTCTTCCAACAAGCGCAAGGAGTCTATCGACGGCGATAGTCTCGACCCGCATGCCGGGTCGAGACGCCCTCGTGAAGGAGACGATTCGGACGCTTCAAGCTCGAAGCGTTCGCGCGGCGAGAGCGACACTCCGCTCTCCGCTGCTGGGGCTTTAAGCTCCCCGCGTGAGGTGGCGCCTTCAAGCTCTCCGCGCGCTGCTCAGGCAGCGCGCGATCCGTGGATGCCGTCTGCGTCAGAGATCGCAGACCGTGCGGGCAACACCGTGCCTCCAAATGAAATTCCGCTGTACGTATGCAGCGGGGTACACGATGATGCTGTGGCGGAGGAGCAGCACTTTGATCCGTTAACGAATCAAAGGCGCGATTACTATATCGGACTCTTTCACGAGCTCCGATACTTCTCCAGCAAGAAGACTTCTTCTCGCAGTAAAGTGCCTGAGTGGCAGGCACTTTGTCAAAGTTGAAATGCTTTTGTTGAGAACTTCAACAAGACGCCGGCTGCCTACCGTGAGCGGGTTAAGCATGCCCGTGAGCGCTTCGAGACATTCTCGACGCGCGGGAGGCTGGAGCAGCTCCACAGATCCTCTGTGGACGCTGGTGTTCCATGCGCTGTGCCCGAAGGCCAACAGTGCACGTTGTGTCTTCCGGGTGCGGCGCGCTTGAGCGACCGCGACCTAAACGGGTACACGACGATTCGTGTACCTGCGAGTCTCAAGGATCTCCGTACCAAGTTCTTGGCACGTGAGGAACGCGACGATCGTGGGGCCTCGGGCGCTGTAGGTGACCACAGCGCTCGCACTACCTTCGCGTCGGCAGTGCGTGGTGAGCTTCGTACGCCCTCACCATTTCCGGAACGTCCTGCAGCAGGACGTCCCGTGGCTCCCATGTATCTTGGTGGGGCGGAAACCCTCTCCAACGAATACGATAACGAACCGGCTGCCGGTTCGTTTTCTGGAAATTATGGTTCACAATACGCTCAACAATCCAGCGTGTTGAGCCGCGGGCGTCGCGGATCGGAGGCGGCGGTGGTGGGAACACGCCCCGGGTATGGTCAACCTGGGGTTGACCTTGGCCCGACGCTCGAGGAGCGGGTCGCTGCTGTGGAACAGCATCAGAGCCGGGAGTTCGCCGCGCTGAAGCAGGAGGTGGCGATCCTGAGGGCTCAAGTCGCTCAGGCCTCGCAGACCGCGTCGGACATGTCTGTCGACGTGGGAGGTCGCGTCGCACGCTTGGCCCAGCGCGTTCACGCGCTGGAGCAGAGGTTCGCTCCCGCTGGGGCTTCCGCTTCGGGCCAGCCGAGCTAGGTGGCTCGTGCTGCCGGTATGGCTTCAGCCGCCCGACGTAAAAGGTCGGATGGAGGCGCATGCTAGATGGAATATCTAGCGTGTAGGCGTTGCCATGCCGTGCCAACACCGTGAACGGTCCGATGAAGCGCGGAGCGAGCTTGCTCGCCCCGAAGTCGGAAACTGCATGTTTAGGCAGGTTTTGAGTAGCTAACAAAACCAATGAACCCTTCTTGAATTCATTTGTGTTGCTCCTGCCAACGTTGTCTGCGTTCAGCTTCTGTCGATCAACAGAAGCTGCAATAATAGCGTCTTGGACAAACCGAATGACGGCTTGTCTGTGCTGCACGAAGTTGATTGCGTCCGAACTGAACTCGTTCAGCTCGTTCCAGCAGTAGGCCCGGCCTCTGCGTTCGTCTTCGCGAGTGCCTGTGTCCTGTATAGACCCGTTCTTCTTCTTGCTCTTGTCGGTGTCTGTGCCCTGCACAGACGCGTTCTTCGTGCGCTTGTCGGCGTCTATGCCCTGCACAGACGCGCGGTTCTTGGCTTTACTTCGTGTCGTTGCGGCTGCTGCGTTGCAGTCGTAGATCCTCCCCCACTTAAGGAAGGAGCCACCATCCCGAGTAGACTCGGGAGGCGTGGGTGCCTGATGGCATTCACGTAGAAGGGTGTATGCCCGGTCGAGGCATGCACCGAGTTATTGATGGCGAACTCCGCCATCGGCAGGCACTCGCTCCAGTGTTGGAGCGAGTGAGCGTAGCTCTTAAGCACGTCTACGAGCACGCGGTTCACGCGCTCGGTCTGCCCGTCCGTCTGCGGATGGTCCGCAGTCGACATCGAAAGTTGACTCCCAAGAAGTGTAAACACTTCTAGCCAAAGGTGCGCAGTGAAGCGCGGGTCTCGATCCGACACAATGTCGATCGGCATGCCATGGTGTTTAAACACCATGTCGACGAACAGACGTGCAGTCTGCTTCGCAGTCACTTCAGCGGGTACTGCAGCAAGATGTACCATCTTGCTGAAGCGGTCAACAAAGACCACAATGCCCGTGTTCCCCTGGCTGTCCGGGGGAAGACCGAACACGAAGTCCAAAGACATGGACTGCCAACACTCCGACGGAGTCAGCAGTGACTGCAAGGGAGCCTGCGCGAAAGGCGCAGGCTTCACACGTTGACAAACCTCGCAAGCACGGACGTACTTGCGCACCCATTTATACTGGTTGGCCCAGTAGAAGTCTCGCGTGAGAAGAAGGTATGTCTTCTCACGGCCCGGATGTCCCGCAGTCGGTGCATCGTGATACTCATACATGATCCTGAGTCGCAGGTCATGGTCATTGGGCACGACAACGCGGTCCGCGTTGTCGTCGACTGCACTGTAGAGTAATAACCCATCGTGCACGCGATAACGGTGTGCACGAGCACGAAGATGCTTCGGCAGCTTCTGACGAGCTTTGTCAGAAGGCGCTGAGCCATAGGCCAGCAAGAGCTTCGCGTCCGCGTCGTGTGCGCACGCGGCCTTCACGTCGTCCAACAGTGACGACGTTGGGGTGCTCGATCGCATGGCGTCAATGGCATTGACGTCGGCTTCAGTCGTGGCGTGGTCAGGTCGACGCGAGAG